TTCTTGAAATAGGCAAATAACAAATCCCTATGCTAGAAAAATTAGACTCTATGAGGTTACTAATAACTTCCCAGTTGCATTCACTGAGCTCTTTTTAGTCCTTCTTCTACTTGATTCTTCTTATTTAAGGACAGATTAAAATTTTAGCTGTTTTTGAACTGTATAACCTCCTCCCACTTGTAAAATTGGATAAAACATTGTATATTTCAGAGTACTTCATGAGATTAAATTAAGTAACATAAATGGAAGAGCCTGGTACATATCAGTTGTAAACTTGCAGGCCCTACCTCCTTCCCATTCAGTAGATATACCAGACTATTTCCAACATGAAGTAGCAACTTGCTTAGTTTTATCTCATTAATTATACATTCTTTTTTTATATACCTCTATTAGTTCTCCATCATCATTTGAACAGGTGCAAATCTGAATCATTAAAAAAAATTATAGGCCTCTCTTTGTCTCTTGTTCATGACCAGTTATTTTGCAGAATGTAGCTCAATTTAGGCTGTATGTAGTTTTAGCCTTGTGCCCATCTCAGGGGATCATCTCAGAAGTCTAATACATGAAATTAATACATTACAGTACTGTGACATTAACTTTGATCCCTTGGTTAAGGTCATAACTACCAGGTTTCTTTAATGTTGTATTATTTTTTCACTTTGTCATTTATAAATATTTTATAGGGAGATGTTTTGGTTCTATACATATACCTGATTTTTTATCAGACACTTACCTGCTGGGTTTACCATTCATTGATGATTCTCATTTGGAAAAATTATTGCGATGATGTTTGCCAAATAGGTGATTTTCTATTTCTATCATCTTTTTTTTTTTTTTTTGGAGAGGTTTTTGCTATAGGGTGCGTGCACTCACCAGAAAGAGAGAGACAGAGAGACAGAAAGCAAGAAATCACACCCCGGGGGGATGGCCACACCGCAATCCCTTCTCCTCCATTCTCCTCGGGATCTTGGGCACGCACGCACATGCGCCTGGCGTGAGTCTAAGCCACCGAACTGCAGTTGACTACATGGGAGTCCAGCGACATAGCCATTACGCTAACTGCTGGTCCCGTATTTCTATCATCTTTAGTAGTAGAGGTTCTTAACCTGAGGTTCCCCACTGTATATATTAGTATATACTTGTATGCGCTTTACTCTGAATAAAAGAAGCAGTATTGATCAGACTTTTTCTATTTATCACTACTTTCTCAACTCTGTAGTCACAGCACATTCATTAGATGAAAGGAATACTTTGTGTATTTTGATTTTTTTTTCTGATCTGTCTACATAGCTTATTCTGAATTCCTCTGAAAAGATTCAGTGCATAGTGAACCAAAGTATACCTAAAGTAAAGCAAAACAGAACTGCAGAGCTATTGTTGTCCTGTGTTGTTAAGACTGTTTTCTCTGGCCCATAGTTGGTGAAATTTTGACCTGTATATTTCTAGTTTTAGCTTAGCATGTATTTTAATCCCTTTGAAGTTTTTAAAAGTCAAATACAGAATTTAGTCTATCTTGTAAAACAGACCAATAAAAAAATTTAGCTTTTGGAAAATAATATCGGGGCCAGTTCTGTAGCCTGCTGTGATTAAGGGAGCTGGATCCTGTGTAACCGACTACAGTACAAATCTCAGCCCTGTGGCCTAAAAAGCACCATGTGGATGTGTGTGCTTGCTCCCAAGTCCTGACTGATGGAGAAAGGGAGAAGAGATTGTAGTATTACCATTTATCCCCCTCTCTGTCTCTTTGTCTGTCTCTTATGAGTATACGTGCCCTCTGGCAATTAAAAAATAATTATAATAATAATTCAAGGCCAGCCCTGCACCGGTTAAGTTCTGTGTATTAAGAGGCAGATCCCAGATGGTCTTCTGTGGTTTGAATTCCTACCTGATCAGCTTGAAAAACATGCTGGGCACATGTGTGTATGTACTTAAAATCCCGACTGGGTGGAGAAATGAAAGTAAGAATTGCAGCATCACTGTGGGGTGCTTTCTTTCTCTATCTTGGGTGACCATGGATGCTTTCTTGCAATAAAAAGAAAGTTAAAAAAAAAATGTTGTCACAGGTTATAACTTAGTTTTTGTGATTTATGCTTTCTTAGTGTAAATAGATTCTGTGAACAAAAGCTTGAGACCTTCTGTGAAACACGAATTTTTATAAGTTTTTCTTATTTTTACTGTCCCGAGAATTATTACTATGATTTTTCCCTTTACATCACTAGCAAAAAATGGGATTCTGTTTTTATTTTTTCTCTTTAAGAGCTACTAAGTTTTTAATCTACATTTTTGTGGTATTTTTTTTTTCTTTTAAATAGAGCTAGTATAACAGAATGCCGTTTTGGTAAAACAATTAAAATCTATTGGGGCCAGCAGGTGACTGTGGCTAAGGCACTGGATTCCCACATGGCTGACTATGGTTTAAGTTCCTGACCCAGCAGTTTGAAAATCATGCCAGGTATGTGTGGTACATGCCCAAAATTCTGAGAGGAGAATGGAGGAGAAGGGATTGCAGCATGACTATCCCTCTGGGGTGGGTGATTTTTCAGTTTCTTCCCTCTCTCTCTCTGTTTCTGGCAAGTGCACATGCCCTATAGGAAAATTTAAAAAGTGCAACAAAACAACTAAAATATGTACAATAATGAGAGGTTTGAGAAATTATTTATGCTTTATCTTATTCTTAACATGATGTGATTGTCTTAAGTCTAATAGGGCTTTCATAAAAGTTTATTCTTTTTTTAAAGAATTATTTTATTTAACTTAATTAATTAATTTTAATTTGACCAAAGAGGGCCAAAGTGAATGAGAGAGAGAGAGAGAGAAAGCAAGCCACTGGGTCCAGGACTTGAACTACAGTCAGCCATGTGGAGTCTAGCACCCTTAACCACCATGCCACCTGCTGGCCCCCAGCTTATTTTTTGATAACAGTACACAGGTGCTTGAAATAAACTAAGCTCTACTATACAGTGTGATGTTCTATAGCTTACTAAAAGGAGATAGTATGCAAGCTTGATTAAGCAAGACCTGTTTTCTCCTCCACACTTAGAAAATCAATGCTTTTCTATTCCTGAAATCTTTAAATTTTATCAGAAAAGTCTTTTTAAAAAATACATTTTTTCGAACTTCAAATGTTTAGATATTTACTGGGCTAATTACTCTAAGGAAAATTAAGTTTTAAGCAAAAGGTGAGTATACATGAAAATATAGATTCTCTAGTAAAGCATTATGTGCAGGGAGAAATCATAACCAGTTCATAATCACCAAAATCCTCTACATGTGAGGCAGCTAATATCAGATGATATTGGAGCGGTAGGTAGATGCTGTAGTATGATAAGTTTATATGCCAAATTAGGGAACTTGAACTGATAGGGTAGAAATCTGAGAGGTAAAGAGGGCCTGGACTAGGAAGGGGTTAAAAAGGATGAGTTCAATAAATAAATATTATGGAGGTAAAATCGTCTGGCTATGGTAATAAATTGAAATGTAGGAAGTTGAATAAAGGGTTCTAGCCTGGATGAATGGTGCTCCTATCTTAAATAGAAAATATAAGAGAAGAAGCAGGTTTTGGGGAAAATAAGATATATTCAGTATTACAAATGGGAGCCTGAGATACTTATGGGACTGGGTTGGAGACATCCAGGTGATGAGACTATATGATTCTGAAGCTTGAGGAGAGCTTGAGTGGAAATCATTGTATAAAGGAGGGAGTTGAACTATGTAATTTGAATAGGATCACCCAAGGGAGTACTTTGTAGGGTAGAAAGAGCCATGTGTTAAGGATGTACTTCTAGACATCACCTACGTTTAATGGGCTGGCAGAGAGGAGAAACAGTATTTTTAAGAGAATGAAAGTTCGTGGAGACCAAAGATAACTTTTTTTTTTATAAATTTTTTTAAACACATTGTAACAGGATTTGATAAGGATTTTACTTTTATAAATTTAACTTTGTTTGTTTGTTTATTTATTTATTTATTTAATTTGACCAGAGAGGGACAGAGTAAGAGAGAGAGAGAATGTGAGAAAGCAAGCCGCCAAGTTTGGGACCTGAACTGCAGTCGACCATGTGGGAATCCAGTGCCCTTAACCACCATGCCACCAACTGGGCCCAAAGATCACTTTTAGATAAGGAGTAATAATATATATTTAACACCGTTAATCTTCTGCCTGTCATTGAATGTAGAGGAGAAAATGCCTGAGGTCTTCTTTTTCTTTCTTTTTTTTAGTAGATTTGCAAGGATTTTAATCAAAAAGTAGGTTTTTTCCTATAGTGCTTAAGACCTGTCAGCTAAAGGATGATTGGGATTTTTTTGGGTACATATTTAGTAATAATTTTTAGTATTAAAAATTTCCTGTCTCTTGTCATTTGGAGGTCTACTTTATATCCCAGTTTTCTCAATTACTAATTTTCTTAAATTTATTGGAGGATTCATAGTATCAGTTCAGTCAGTTTGCTGGAGACCAGTGAACAACCTGACTTTTTTTGGTTTGTTTTGCTAAGTGTGTAATGCTGTCTTTATCGAGCATTACACTAAACCCGAATTCATTCCGTTGATGACTCATGCGTACAAATCTTCAGTCGCCAGGCTTATTTGATTCTAGCTTATTTGATCTTTATGTGAAGCTTGTGGGATAGACAGGGCAGAATGTTATCTTCATGTCTCCTTTCTCGTTATGGAATCTGTTCCTTTATTTAATTAGGTTGCCTATTCATAGGTAGCTGTGAATTTTCTGTTTCACTGTTGTATAATCTAAATGTTAAAGCTGAAAAGAACCTTAAAGATCATCTCTTCCAATCGCTTCACCTTACAAATGAATAAACAGGGCCAAAGAGGTAAAAATCACTTGCCTAAGAAATATAGGCAAAAAAGTAAAATTAATATCTGGAACCCAAATTTCCTGACTTCCCAGTCCCTATAGCAATCACAAATTTAATTTGAATTAAAAGTAAAATTAGGCGAGGCTCTGCTATCTTTGGTAATCTTTTTTGTTTGTTTCTTGGAAATAGTGTGCAGTTCGTGCAGCCACAGAAGGCAGAACTCTCATCTTGGAAGGCTTGGAAAAGGCGGAGAGGAATGTCCTGCCTGTTTTGAACAACTTGCTGGAAAATAGGGAGATGCAACTTGAAGATGGACGCTTCCTGATGTCTGCAGAGCGTTACGACAAACTTCTTCAAGTAAGAGAAGAAAAATCTGGCTGCTTTGTCTTTGCTGTCAGATTCTAGGTAGTGCCATTTTATTATTTAAGACCTGATTCTGTTGGAAGCAGGACAAATGGACAGGTGGCCCTTACCTTTGGCAAATTGCTAAAGTTAAGTTATGAGTTTGCAGTTCCACAAAGTTGTTCTGTTTGCAGATTATACTAGATCTCCCAGATTTGTGGTGTGTGTGTGTGTGTGCCCTGATTTTTGGTTTGTGTGTGTGTGTGTGATTTGGGGTGTGTGTGTGCATGTGTGTTGTATTGGCTAGCCAAGAACTTCGGTGCTTGAAGAAAGTTGAGTGCCGCCTCCCCCCCTTTAAATGAAAGGTTTTTGCCATAGGGTGCATGCTCTCACTTGACAGAAAGAGATGGAAAGTGAGAAGGAAAATGAGAAATCACTCCCCAAGGGTGATGGCCATGCCACTTATCCCTTCTCCCCCATTCTCCTTTTGGGATTTTGTGCATGCATGTGCATGTGCCTGGTGTGATTTTCAAGCCACATGGCCTGGGACTCAAACTATAATTGGCCATGTGGGAAACCAGTGCCTTAACCACCATGCTACCTGCTGGCCCCAGATCTCCTGTGTTTTAACTGCCTTTTTTTGGTCAGGTGCCTTACTGTTCTCTTTTCCATTTTTCTTTTTTCTTCTTTCTTTTTTTTTTTTTTTTTGTTTTTTGTTTTTTGGAGAAGTTTTTCATTTAGTATGTGTGTGCTCACCAGAAAGTCAGAGAGAGACAGAGAGACAGAAAGCAAGAAATAACCCCGCAGGGGGAATGGCCATGACACAGTCCTTTCTCCTCCATTCTCCTCTTGGGATCTTGGGTATGCACGCACACATGCCTGGCGTGAGTTTAAGCGACCAGGTACAGGACTCAAACTGCAGTTGACTACATGGGAGTCCAGCAACATAGCCATTATGCCAACTGCTGGTCCCAGAAAGCAAGCCACCAGGTCCGGGACTTGAATCATGTTCAGCCACGTGGGAATGCAGTGCCTCAACTATCATGCCATCTGCTGGCCCTTTTCTTCTTTCTCATCTCCTTTTTCTTCTTTCTTCTCTCCACAACTATTTTCCTAAAAGTGTAATGATAGCTAGACAGTGCTAGACATCATGAGTAGAAAGCTGAATAAAATTCAGCTCTTAGCCTCAGAAAGCTCAAAGTTTGGTAGGTATTGACAGAAATACATAAAATATTTAGAATATAGACTAGTGATCAAAGCTACCAGGCTTTCACTCCCGAGTTATATAAGAACCTCCTAAGTGGACCCCTGCTGCTATCCTTCTCCCTGCTCTCCTCCATAGTGCACACATGCGTGCGTACACACACACACACACACACACACACACACACACACAATGTTTTCAACATAGCAGTCAGTGATGGCTTTAAAACATGTATCACAATGAATCTCTCCCATGTTCTAACCTTGACGACTTCCTGTTCCATACAGAGTAAAAGCTAAATTCCTTGCAGTGAAATAGTGTCCTGTATGATCTGCATCTTTACTACCTCTTGCCTTACCTCCTTTTTTCCTCCTCTTATACTCTATTCCATCTACTAGTATTTTCTTTACCATGCCTTAATCATGCTAAGGAAGCATTCACTTACTTCCTAGCCTGTGCGCAAACACTTCCCAGTTCTTGGGGTGTTTTTTCCTCAGAAATCTGCTTGGCTCACTCCTGTACCTTTTTAACATCTTTGCTCAAATGTTATCAATGAAGTCTGCCTTGACCCTCCTATTTACAGTCTGCACTCTGCCTCTATTTCTCACCCTTTTCTATTTTTGCCATGTCTTCTAATGTCCCTTATAATGTACTTATGATAATTTTAGTTCATTGTCTGCCTCTTTCTACTAGAATATATATTTTATAAGGGCAGACATTTTGTCACGAATGTTATCTCAAGATTCTAGAACAATGCCTGGCCCACGGTAGGTGTTCAGTAACTATTTGTTGATGGATGAATAATTGCAATAAAATGATTAAGTGCTATGATACACATACATATATAATGTGGGCAACAGGGAGTGTGGGACTCTTCACAGGCTTTGGCAATGGGGTTCTAGAATGTCACAAATGACAATAAAATCCGTGAATATCATAACTCTTGCTCATTCAGCTCAAGCTACACTACACTGGAGAGGTCTCTGGCTATCCCAGCCTTCTGTGACTGCTTGTTTTGGCTCTACATTCTAGGATTTAAAGTTTCTCTCAGCCCTGTTCTATAGAGATACAAATGTGCTAATTATATCACCCCTAAGTTGATTTCAAATTGCTCAAGAGCAGAATCTGTGTTTTATTCTCTTTGATCTTGCTCCCATGGTGCTAATACAAGCCCAGAATGCTCTAGGCACTAAATAATAGATGTTGACACCAGAGAGTCTGATTGAACTGATGCTCCATGGCTAGCAGGCCAAGGGCATCTCTTTCTAATTTCTCTCATGTGAGTCTGTTTCTCTGTAATTCATCTTACAATCCTTTAATAGTCTGTTTCTTTACTGTCTTTTGGAGCATGCATATGTTTTTTTTTTTTTTAATTGGGCAGTAGAGTCATTTTATTCTGAATCTATCCACAGATCACTTCAGTCTAATGTAATTAGAAAGGGATACTTAAGGGTTTAATCAGTAAGACAAAATTAAGCTCATTGTTGTAGTTAATTCATCTTATTGTTATAGTTAATTCATTGAAAGCTGTTTTTATTATTTATTTTTTAAAGTAGGTGGATATTACACATAGTATTTTCTCTATGCACTAATTATAAAATAATACTTGTCCTTAGAGACTATATTAGTTTTTCACCATTTTAGTAAATGATTTAGAGAAGAATACTCAGAATATGGAATAATTTTTTTTAAAGTATAAGAGCTACTTCACAACAGAAAATTTGATATATTCCTTATTCTTTATTTTTTTGCATGCTACATCAGAAGCTTTATTAAGTTCATTCAGAAAACATTGGCAAAATTAATTTCAGTTGCAAATTCACAGATACAAGTTTCAAAGTATAAAATTGTATATAACAAGAAGTACAGCTAATAGTTACAACAATAACTTACAGATACAAACTAATGATAGGCTGTAGTTTCACAAAAGATTGTAAGCATTTTGCACACTTGTCAGTCCTTTCTTTTAGGCAAAGTGCTCTTTTGATGACAAATTAATAAATACACACTAGTGTGAACTATTTCCATATAATACAAAAAAGTTTTTTTTTTCTTGTAAACCTAAGTTTATCGTTTATAGTCTTTAAACATTATTGCACTTAAACTTTCATATTTCAAAAAAGCATTCATGAAACACTCTGCAGACTGGTTTAACAGACAACACTTTTAAGCAGATGTTACTGTCCTGAAATATTCTTTCTCACACCCACCATCCACCATCCACCACCCACTCTCTATAAACCTCCCCCTTTGTAGTCTCTAGCATCTACACCTATCCTCTCCACCATAATATCTTCAGATCTCTCACCACAGCCATAACAAAAATTTAGTGGGGACATACAATGTATATCCTTCAAAGTCTGGCTCACTACACTCAACATTAAGTCTTCTATAGTCATCCATTTTGAGTCAAATGACATATCTCCTTTTCTATTATAGGTGTATAATATGTGGCACAATTTTTCAGTCAACATTAAGTTTTTTGAACACTTAGGTTGGTTCCATGTTTTAGCAATTGTGAATAATGCTATAGTAAACATGGCTGTGCAAGTGTCTTTACAATGAAGTGTTTTCCTATCCTTTGAATAAGTGCAAGGAGTGGGATTACTAGGTCATAGAGAAGGTCTATTTGTAGGTGTTTTATTGTTTTTTTTTTTAAAGAATTATTTATTTAATTTTCTTTATTCATTCATTTATTTTAATTTGACCAGAGACACACACATATAGTGAGAGAAGGAAACAGAAAGCTAGCCACTAGGTCCAGGAACCGAGCCATGGTCAGCCATGTGGGAATGTCCAGTGCCTTAACCACCATGCCACCTGTTGGTCCCCTTGTTTTTTTAAGATTTTTTTTTTTTTTTTTTTTTTTTTGTTAAGGGGCATTTGCATTTCCTTAGTTTTTTTTTTTTTTTGCTATAGGGCATTTGCAATTCCTAGAGAAACAGAGGGAGACAAAAGGTGAGAGATAACCCCCAAGGAAAGATGGCCATGATGCAGTCCCTTCTCCTCTAGTCTCCTCTCAGGATTTTGGGCACACACGCACAAGCACCTGTTGTGAGTTTTAAGCCATCAGGTCTGGATCTCAAACCATGCTTGGCTACATGGGAGTCCAGTAACATAACCATAATGCCATCTGCTGGTCCCTATTTGTAGGTTTTTTGAAAAACCTCTATATTGTTTTTCATAAAGGTTGAGCTAATTTACATTCCTACCAACAGAGTAAAATGTTCCCTTTTCACCATAGCCTCATCAGCACTTATCATTTTTTGTTTGATCTGAGCCATTTTAACTGGGATTAAATTATATCTCATTATGGTTTCAATTTGCATTTCCCTTATGACAGGGACTTCAAACATTTCTTTCTATACCTCTTTGCTGTTCATAAGTCTTCCTTGGAGAGTTGTCTTTTCAATTCATTTGCCCATTTTTAAATTGGATTATTCATTTTGTTATGAGCAAGCTGCTTGATTTCCTATATATTTTAGATACTAACCCGTTGTGTAAGGAATAATTGCAGATATTTTCTCCCATTCCAAGGGTTGTCTTTTTATTTTGATTATTGTTTCCTTTGCTGCGAGGAAACTTTTCAGCTTAATGTAATCCCACTTGTCTATTTAGGGATTATTGGTTGTGCTTTAGGAGTCTTATTCAAGATATCTTTGCCTACTTCAATATCTTTAAAAGTTTCTCCTTCATTTTCTACTAGTTTTATACATTTTCTACTAGTTTACTAGTTCCCTTTCAGATTCTAGTAGTGTTATAGTTTGAGGCTTTATATTTAAGTCTTGATCCATTTTGAGTTAACTCTTGT